GTTGTAGGTTGTGATATTGTGTCCGCCCATTGTGTTTATTTTCGGAATAAGTTGATTTTTTTTTACTAAAAAGTGTTTATTTTATTTTATACAGAACAGTTTCATTGTATTTCTCTAAGATTGTTAGGTATAAGTGAAGTTGATCATTAATTTTGACTGTTAGAGCTTTATTTCTACTCATAAAATCTGAAAATATTTTTGTACTTTAGAAGTAGACAATAAATTTGTAATTTTTATGATATTATTACTTTTATTTGGTATCCATATTGATGTGAATCTCTTAGATGATGACATACTTGAGATATTATGCTTGTATAATACCACCAATCCGAGCCATTTTTAAAAATAACAATTTATATATAAGAATAAAATGAAATTAAAGTGGACATATATAATTTTTATATATGTAAGTTCAGTACAAATATATTTAGTTTTATATGTAATCTTTGACTGCAACTATTATCAATATATTTATGACATGTGTATGCTCTGTATATTGCTTGTTGGTATTTAAATCTGTATATTTTTGTATAGCAGGACTGCTTTAAAATATCTCATATCAATTGTATGTCAAGTTAAAAATATATCTACAATAAATATGTCCACGCACTTCAATGTTTTATTTTAAACTCTGTTCATATCCAAAGCCCAAAGAATTATTATTATTGAGTTTTTCTATAAAACCAAATTTTTGCCAAACATCTTTTTTCACATAACCCAACATTATTTTACTATTATAAATGTTTAGATGGATGGATGAATATTTGATTGAAGGTATCTCCAGAACGGCTGAATGGATCTCTATGAAATTCATACCTACAGAACATAGTGTGGAAGAACACATAGGCTACTTATGTTTTTTTAAGTCCGCGCGGTCGTAATGACGGGTGACTGCTAGTTTTAGATAAAAAAATCGACATGGAAAACATTTTATTACACGATATCAATGTCACAATTTTTTGTGTTTAATCTTACGTTTTAAACATTTTGCATCCACAGTATCTAAGCTGTCACAATCTTTGGGTACTTTTCTTTTTAACAAAACTTCATCGTCTGTGGTTTGGACATGCTTTAGCGGCAGCAAGCCGACGGCAAACGGTATATCTCCATCTAATGTGGGACTGTCATGATTTGAGCTAGGCTCCATGTTTTCTTTATTCATTTCATTTTCGTGTAATATATCATCCCACTGATTGGACGTGTCCATGCGTTCCGTCAAATCTATTATAGGATCTGAATAAGCGTTCTTATTTTTGTCATCACTATGTAGATTATTATTTGATTTATTTAAATTATTTGAAACATTCTCCGGTTCACAATTTTTTTCAAGAACATTTTCGCTTACTGTTACATTGTCCCATTGTAAATCACTTTGTCTATTGTCTTCTGTTGTTTCTGTTGCATTCGTGTTGTACTGCGTTTGATTCATATCACATACTTCTTTCTGGAAAACTTCTTCGACGTTAAAATCATTATTCATGGCCGATGTTTCTTTCTTATCACTTCTATTTTCGAGCTTAATCTTTTCTTCTATGTTCATTAAATCTTTAATTAAATCGTCTCTCTCCTGCACCCTCTTATCTAACTCGTCGTGATCGTTGAAGTCGTTTCTGACGTCATCGTTTTGTTTCGAACTGGAAATTAAGCAATCGAGAGGATCCTCTTTAAAGTCGGAGCCCTGTGGCAGCGGCAAACTAAAGTCGTAGCAGTCTTCATTTCTTCTTAAATCTTCGTTATTTAACGAGCCGTACGGTTGAGTCAAGTTTTCGTTGAGATTGGAGATTTTGGAGTCCAGCAAGGACATGTTGAAACTGGTGTCGAGCGAGGTGCTCGGACAGAGCTGCTCCATGACGCGAGCATCGCTCAACTGCTGGTCCTCGTAAAACTTTTTAACATCGTCACTCATAGATTTGGTAAAGAACTGCATGTCACTGTCGATGCAGGAGAAATCGTGGGAGTTCACCGCGTCCAAGTTAGATTGACTCTCTTGCAGATCTTGACCGAGAACGACATAGTTCTGTTGCTCACCAAACGATTCTAAATTATCCGGTAAAATGGCACTAAGACTGTTGATGGCATCTTCGTGGCGACTGTACTGCGGATCTTTGTCATAGTTGCTGCCGCTGTAGCTTTTTGAGTTGATGAGCATCTCCCCTCGTTCTATTGACTTCGATAGATCGTCGATGCTTTTAATTTCGCTGGGATCGGCAACTTTTTCAATGATATTAGGCTGCTCGATTACTTCGTATTGTATCTCGTTGCTCTGCACCATGTCTAGGAGGACCTGTTCGTTGACATTGATGTAGGAGCCGTCGCCGGATTCGAAGAGTATGGGCAAGTCGGTGGGCAGGCCGGCGCTCTTCAGAGCGTTCACGTACTGCGACATGGCGGTGCCGATGCCGGCGCCGGAGGTGTCGCTGCCGGAGTTGGTCGTGCTCGTGTTGGCGAAGCTCGAAGTTATGGTCTCGTTTATCAGGGAGTCCTTGGAGAACGGCATCCCCTGGTCGAGGACGTTGGAGGACACGGTCTGGTCCATGTACATGAGGTCGTTGTCGATGTTCAAGTAGTTGTTGGTGGTGGACTCCGGGTCGCATATGCTGTCCACGGCCTGCGACAGGGTCACTCGGTCCATGTAGTCCTGCAATAAACATACGATGAGTAATGTTCTGTAGATAATAATTTCGATTCGAACTCCTCTATCTCTGGCTTTGATGTGCTGCAACCTTGAATTTTCGCATGTACGGTGTAGTACCTGCATGTGCCTGGTCTGCAGATGTTTGAGCTGGTGTATGGCCTTGCGGGAGTCCTGCTCGCGGCGCAGCAGCGCGCGCTCGGTGGCGCGGCCCAGTGCGCCGCCGCCCTCCCAACCCGACGCCCGCTGCTAACAAAACGACATCTAAACCACTTCAAACAACACTACGATATACTAGACGATAAGACTTTAAAAAAATATAGGTTTAAAGAACCCCCCCCCCCCCCTCATAGACACGTAGCTTTATAACGACCTAGAGGGTCACTGTGTCCAAAGTGGAATTATAACATGGCATTGTAGTAAATAAGTAGAAATAGAAAAAAGTTGTTCTGGTTATGAGGAAGGAAAACTTACCCTAACACTAGGTCTGCCCCGGCGAGGTCGGATGGCGCGCGGCGTGTCGGCGTACTCCGCGCCCGACGCTCCGCCGCCGCCGCCGTTCTCAATATCAAACGGAATGCGCACCACCATGTCCTAGCAATATTTCTCATATTTATTTTATACACTAATAACTCGACTGACTGAGGCTACTGAATAAATAACGTCCCATCACATACATAAAAACAAAGTTACAGCCAGCTAAAGAAAATCTGGTAATGGGGTGAAACAAAGAACAATATTTATTGTAAGCACCTTGTTAGTCCGATTTAGGTTATCGTTGGCCTGGCAAGAGCTGGAGGGCGCCAGCGGTGCCGTCGAGGGCTTCGCGTCCATTGTATCCTTGTATATGTAAATTCATTTGTTAAGTATAAGTTACGTTGGTATTTTTACTAATTCAATATACGCAAAATCGTTGTGACTAGAGATCTCATGTTATTGTGGTCAAATTACTAAATTATAAATAATAAAAATGGATGGATTTGGTATGTTACCTGAGCATGTAGATTGATTAGAGACTGCGGCGGTCGACTGATGACCACTGGAGGTGTGAACACTGGCAACTCGCCTTTGAGATAAATTGCAATGGTAATTCATTCGAAAAATTACAATAATTCACAGATACCTAATAAAACTATAAATTTACATATCTTAACAAAATTATTGTTTGTTTTTTAAAGTTGTGCAAATGTTGATGACCTCGGTGTTCCCACTGCTCGTTTGCCCCCCTTCTCTTATAAAAATACTGTTTGAGGTTAGATTTTATAATATACATAATAATCTACGTCATAATTTTTTTCTCATAAAGTAAGGTTATATTTAGAATTTGTTAAAAAACTAATATAGAATTGAAATGATTTAAATGAACCTTACTGTGTTTAGTAATTCCGAGACCTTCTTTCGTCACTTTTGATAAACCCTTGATTTTTAAAAATTGTGCCGCTGAAACTAATTCATCTAAATTTTCTTCTAAGCATTGAGTTTTTCCGCAATACATGAATTCCACTAATGATTTAAGTACACTAAAGCGCATTTTTAATATAATCAGCGGTTCTCCAGATTGTTTTTGCAACAATTCCTGATAAAATGTTGATAAGACGTTAACTCTAAATAAACAAATCGTTTATTAAAACCAAACGTTTATTTCACAGAGAAATAAAATAACTTATTACCTGGAAATATGCACTACTTGCTGCCAGAACTGCTTTGTGGACGCGCAAAGTGTGGGAACTACACATAAGTGTCATGTCCACTAAAGATTGCATTTGTAAAAGTTTTCCGAACCTGGACATTAAGTGTTCTGAATAATCTTCATAGTGAAGACTGTACCGTATTGGTGCCATTCCAGGTTAAATTATTTAATATTACATGCAACACGTTTGTACTGTATTTGACAAAACGGATTTTGAAGGGTTGAACAAAAGAAAAATATAAATTTTATTTTTTTTAAACCAGCAATGGAACGACTTCGTAATTCGCCAGTTTTATTTTATTTACTTAAACATATGAATATGAATTATATTTAATTAGCTAGTTTATTTTTTTTTTGAAAACAATAATTTAATAGGTTAGAAAAATATTTTAACCTATTTTTTAATGAAAAAATTATGATTATGATTTTTGAAAATAAATTTTGAACATTTAGTTGACACGTTCCCTTTTACTATTGTAAAAAAAAAGTATTGTTATTTAATGAAGAATTATTTTTATTTAATGACAGCGTAATTTTTTTTAATTGAGCGTTAAGAAAACCAATTTATTTAATGGATCGTTTAATTGTTTAAAAAATACAGAAAAAATAGTAAATGTTAGAAAATGAATTTATTACAAATTTGTATTCGCCGTCCGGATACATATTTTAATATTAACATTCAGGTAAACTTATTAAATGAACTATTAAATATAATTACAACAGATAATAAAACATACTCTATCACAGACTAATTAAGTACTGGAAATTGGATACATATGTCTAAATATTTTTAAATGCTACATATTTTGTATTTTAAAATGGATCTTTAGATTTAGATCGTTTATTATATGGAAATAATTAATAAAGATTGAATGCAAAAACAATTTAGCCTTGGCTTTACTAATATGTAGGAATGTATTTAATTTGGTCATAAGGCACTTGGAACAAATAGAAAGATACCAAACTTGCAATTTGATTACCTGATAATGATCAAATGATTTAATAAAAAAATGAAATACTGTAATATTAATAATCGAATATACTCTGGAATTTGACTAATATGAATTATTTAGCACTTATAAGAATTATAAAATTATTAAACAGTTTTATAGAATCTAATCACATTTAGTTTTATGAATTTCACATTCAACGCATATTTAATTTTTATATTTATATAGATTTATACAGAGTTATTAGTCAAAACTTGAAAATTAAAATCAAGCGAATGTTGTACACTTTAAAAAAGGTTATATGAATTTTAAGGACTATGGACAAACATACATTGAATAACTTATCGTAAGACATATATTGATTGAGGCAAATGCAATAAAACTAGAAACAAATTACCCATATAGAGTATGATTTTTAAATACAAATTTGTAACACTTCCAATACTTTTAGTATCGCCTTAGACATCAGTTTTATACATTACATTATCTAGCTTTTACGTTTACCCTTACTTTCCTACGGCGAAGCTCATAGACGCCACGGCAAGCGCTCGCGCCTACCAATTCACTTGTCATACTGGAACACATTTCTGTATATCTGAGATGGAATTATAAAAATATAAACGAAACACCCTGTAGCAAAATAGACAAATTAATGAAAAAGACTGTACTTTTATTTGTACTTCTCAATTAATATTTGGAATGCATTACAAAAAATATTCGTACATTTTTAAAATAGTCCAAACCAAATAAAGATAGGAAATTGTGAACTTCATTACGTGTACCTAACAACTATACAGCGCTCTAACAATTATAATTTACATTTAATATTAATTACACCGTATGTCCTTTAATATTGTCAATCTAATACGACAGTTTTTTTTACAATATTTCATCCCAGATATTGCAGAACTTAAAAATAATAACAGCCGCAAAAGTCATTCAACCACAATTAAAAGTAATCATTTATATTTTGAATCGATTCAAATATTTATAGAAAAATATTCTCATTATTGTTTAAAACAGTTTTTTTTTCGTTAAACATCTTAATTCTATTAATTTAAAATGTTTGTTCAGTTATTTGAAATAGGATCCCATAAAAATGACATTATGAATATAGCACAGATTAAAAAAATTAAATGACAGTTTTTTATAAGCACATTGCGTTTAAAAATGAATAAAGTAAATAGCTTAATTCCAAGCTTTTATTTACATAACTTCAGTTTACTGACTAATTTATTTCACTGGGATGCCTATATTGACTAAATCAACTTTATATTGTTATGTGTTAGGAGATTCGTGGTGCGGATATATCTTAGTTAACTCTAACAACAGATTGACACATTAATTGACAGCTATTTAAAAAAAAATGACTTCGATATTATGAAGTATTATTGTACTAAGCACATTTAATATTATTGCTTTAATATAGAGGCGATAAAATAATATGCATTACAGAATAAAAAGGGATTTGCGTAAAATTATTTGAATAATGCTATATATAAAGTAACAGCATATGAACACTTTACATATGTATGAGTTAATTTGTACAATAGGTACATAGTATGTAGAAAAAATAGAGATTCCTTTATAGAGATGGTTCAGTGAAACGAGACCATTGCTAGTCCAAACATTACCATGGCGGGAAATGTTGACATATTGACAATTGTCACAGATTAAAATAAAATTTTATACCATAGAGAAGCATAGAACCATAAAGAAGTTAAGGACGAGATTTTATGTAAGCCGATGTGAACTTAGGAGTAAAAAACTATAAGAAAACAATATGATTAGGTATCATATAGAACTTTTAGCATTGAATCCTTGTCTTGTTGTATTGTTGCTATTTAAAAGAGTTACTTTTAGTATGCGTTTTTGCATACAACTGAACAATGGCCTGTTTCAGTGGCAGGTTACGTTAATCTTATATTAAAAGCAAATTACAATATTTACATCAGCCGTCAATAGATACATTGGAGTTATATCTAATATACACATCGATTATTTGTTCATAGTTTAAAAAACTTACAACTAGTAGTCTATGGAATGTTAATTGTCTATGATCTTCAGGAAGTCCTCCGGTGAGATGTGGATGCCATCGCTCGAGTCAGTCGCGTTGGGGACGGTATTCTTCAGTTCGCCGAAGGTGTATGTCGCTTTCTGCTTGCTCCGGGGCTTGTGCGGGTTGTGGGAGGCGGCCGGCAGCGAGGACTCGCAGTCGAGGCTGGCGCGCTTGTTCCAACAGAAGGCCTGCCGCGGCTCGGCGCCCGCGGACATCGGCATCGCCAGCTGCAGCCGCGACCTGCTCAGCTCGTTGTCGCTCAGCTGTCGCTTCAACTTATCCTTGCCGACGACCAGTTGGAACCCGCGGGGACCCTCCGGCTTCGCCTGGGCCAGCTCCGCCTCGCTCGACTGCCGTCTCATTTTGCCGTCGGTGGGCGTCACCCGCGCCTTGTCGACCAGACTGTTCTGCCGGGAGGACTTGCTCGGGCGCGACTTGGCGTCGCGTCGGCTGCTGCCGGAGGAGCTGGTGGTGTTGGTGTCGCAGGCGGTGTTGTCGCGGCGCAGCGTGTCTATGATGTTGTAGAAGTGGTCGAGATCGTCGGTGCTGGCGGTGCGGGCGCGCACGTTGCTGGCGCTGTGGCGGTGCGCGGCGGGGTGGGGACGGGGCTGGGCGCGCGGCAGATGTCCGTGGCTGGCTTGGCGCGCGATGGCGGCGGGGGGCTGGCGGCGCGGCATGCTGCAGCTGCGGGGCACGAAGCCGTCCTTGTCGGACATGAGCACGTTCTCGTACACGTGGCAGTTGGCGTCGCCGTCCTCCTGCGAGATCAGATTCTGTCTGCTCTCGGTGGTCTCCCGGTTTTGTCCGACGGAGTTGCTCTTCTTGTGTCCGCTGCGATGTTTCGCTTCCGGCAGCTTCTTGCCCAGCTTGCAGTCGCTGGCGCTGCGCGGGAGCAGGTTCTCGTATCCGTGCGCGACTGTATCTTGGCCCTGCGTCTTATCCGAGTTAGTACTGGTAGTCGTGTTATCTACAGTAGTCTTTGTCACACTGGTATGCTTGGGTTTGTTAGCGTTGGCTTTACCGAGGTCGGTCGAGCTGAGCTGCTGGATGAGATCGTGGCGTTTTCTGTCGACGTCGGGCTTCGACGATTTGTCCAAAACGACTTTAGCTTTGTCACTTTTACAAATCTTAACGCTGAATCTGAACGGTGGCTTGAACACGACCTGGAGTCGAGCCTTCTCGCCGGAGAGCAGATTGGTGGCGCTCTTGGAGGGCCTAGTTTTCCGAGCACCTTTCGCAACTTGTCGGCTCGTTCGTTCTGTGAGACCTAAGGGGATGGACTTGGACTTGGGTATGGCTGTGGGCTGCGGCGAGCTGAGCAGCCACTTTTGCACTTTGGACAAGGCCTCGGAGTCCTTGACGGGAGAGGCCGGATGTTTCTGCATCGAGCTGTAGTCTATCGTCGCGCTCTTCACCTTCGCCTTGCGTTTCTTCACTTTTCCTTTATGTTTGGTCAGCAGGATGTGTTTCGGAGACTTTCCGTCAGAGTTCGTGACGACTGCTGCACTTTCTTTTGTTACTTTATGACTTTCTTCTGGCTTCGATAGAGCGTTTGGTTTCTGAAAAAAATAAAAATGAATTCACTTAAAAAAAAACATTCCATAATTTGTAAAATTGAATGTGAAATTTCAATATCATGTTTAAAACTTCTCTTATCACAATATTTTTAATTTTATGGGTCATAAAATTTGTAAAATCTGGCTCACCCTCTTCTTGTTAGCGTTGTAGGAGGGCGATGCCTTGTCTCCCTGTTTGTGCTGGTGGTCCTTCTTTATCTTGTAAGCGCGAGTTCGTAGAGCTACTTTCTTCTTTAGAGGCAGTTTAGATCTGAAACGCAGGTAACATTTTATGTTATATAACTTTACCAAACCAAATTAGTGTAAAAAATTTATCGCGACATGAAAAGAAGCATTTTACTTATGGATACAGAAGTAGAAAGTTACCTAACAGCGGTGTGCACTATGAGGCCCTGGTCAGCGGCATCAGGCAGGCGGACAGTCTCTGTGGTCGAGGAGTGGATGATAGTGACAGACTTGAGCTTCTTAGCGTGACGGCCGAGGAAACGGGTACTTGCAAACTGAAACACAATATTTATGTATGAGAAATATTTAAAATGGAATTTATTTTTTAGCGATAATTACGGAAAACAGTAACTGGAATTAAAAATACATTGTTAAAATTCCGTACAAATCATCATCATCATCATATTCAACCTAAGCTTGTCCACTGCTGGACGTAGGCCTCCCCCATCGATTGCCACAATGCCCGGTCTTGTGCCGCCCGCATCCAGTGCACTCCCGCAACCTTGACCAGGTCATCGGTCCATCGTGCGGGAGGCCTACCTACGCTGCGTCGACCCGTCCGCGGCCGCCACTCTAGGACTTTTCGGCCCCATCGGTCGTCCGTTCTGCGGGCAATGTGGCCGGCCCATCGCCACTTAAGGTTTGCAATTCTTCGGGCAATGTCGGTTACTCTGGTTCTGCTGCGGATCGCATCATTTCTGACGCGATCTCGCAGAGAGACACCGAGCATTGCATTGCCGTACAAATATTTGCCATGTATTATGTTACAGAATTAATTAATATTTAAGTTTTTTTTTGTATGCTAAAGTATGTGATATCCAATTTCTAGCAATAATAAGAGCATTAAAACTGATCGTCTTCCAGTACATTGGTTTTAAGTCTACCATTCTCTTCAATATTCACTAGTTTAGCCGAATTTTTACTTTCAATTCACTAGTATGCTATAGCCATCTCTTTTATTAATATTGAAAAAAACAGAGACAACGATGTTGTACAAGAATGTCACTGATGCGATATGAAACTAGATGTTTAAAATGCATTTGATAATGTATAGCTATTATTCAAAACACTAATAGAAAATGTTTTACAGTGGGTTTCCGAGGCCAAAGTCTCTGTATAAAACATACTGTCATCCCTGTCTTTCATTTTTGACAAAACAGAGATAAAGGATTAAACAGAAATTTTGGTATTAGAAACCCACGGTAAGACATTAAAGAAAATTTAGCGTATTTATTTACAATCAGTATAATGTAGAAAATGTAAGAAATACGCGGATGAAACACTTTTAGCTCTCAAATAACATCGTCTGTGTACCTTATAATATAACGTACTAGGACGTTAACATTTAGGGTCAACGTCAAACTCAGTGTCGAGAATACGGCAGCATCGCTATACAGAACATACATTTTAATTTCACATACATTAAAAATCCCTCATTAATTTTTAACTTCTTCATTTACATTCAAACTTCACCTATACACACAAACACAACAAAACCTAAAAAAATGTTCAATTACAGAAATTTATATCATATTACAAATCCATCATTTTATTTTCAATATTAGCTATTTTCTAGTAGGATTAATATGAATCTCTCTTATACCAATTTCTTCTACCAGTTGGAAATACGTCAGAGATCTGGGTTCATTGGTCGTATCCGTTATCCCAGAGCATATTATAAATAACTAGCTGTCGCCCGCGACTCCGTCCGCGCGGAATTGAAAAATAACTATTGGTCGCAGCGTAATATTATATAAAGCACCTAAAGCCTTCTTTTATAAATGGACTATCAAAAAAAGAATTTTTCAAATCAGGCCAGTAGTTCTTGATATTAGTTGTGCGTGTTTAAACAAACAAACTCTTCCACTTTCTAATATTAGTATAGTATATGTGTTAGGTACCAGTAGTGCGATGACGGCGAGCAGTATGAGCAGCACGGCGTACCAGTGCCGCAGCACCCAGCGCCGGAAGCCCGCCAGGCTCTCGTCCGACAGCAGCAGCTTGCGCAGCGTCGCCAGCGGGCCCGACGGGTCCACCTCGCGACAGCGCTGGAATACGTCGCAGTATCTGCAACAAGAAACAACATACAGTTAGCAACAACAACAAAAAATCGAGATATCTAGAAGATAGTCACGCATTCAGGCGAAAGTGTCAATTTTATTTTGTCGGATAAAATTAACGAAAAGAAATCATATGCAAAGCAATGTAAGGAAATAATTGGAAAGTATGGTATGTAGTTAGTTACCCATTGTAATCGTTGCAGGGCGTGCCTGGCTTGGCGTACATGTCGGGCACGTCGTAGGGCGGCGTGTTCCAATGGAAGGAGGAGCGGCAGGGCCCGCCCGGCGCGCGGCAGCACAACTCGCACGCCGAGCGCGGGTCGTCTGCGCGCGCGCCGCACTGGCACGATTCCAGCCCGTACGCCAGGCAGATGGACCCAGTGCACTCCTGGACCATGAAAAATGTTGCACATCAGATATAGATACTTTTACGTACAACCAAATACTGTTGGAACACGTAATCTTCTTTAAAAATTCAGTTTACAATTAAAGTCAACTGCGCCAAATGTAAATTATGGGAGTTAAGAGTGTTTGTAGTATAGTTTTGTCTTCAAATTTCTAGCGCACGAGGTTACGGTAACAGCTCGTTTCTTTACAGTCATAAGAAAGTGTGTATACGTACTCCCATGAAGCAAACGAGTTCCTTGTCGCAGCGCGTGCGGTTCGGCTTGTGCCTGCTGGCGGGGCAGGCGGCGCGGCGGCCGTCGCAGTGCGCGGCGTCGCGACATCCGTTGTCCGACCGGCACTTGTCACCGAACTTCAGCGTGCATGATGCCGTGCAGCACGGACCCTAAAGTACATACACAACACCTTTCTCATGCAACTCATAAAACTCATATTAATTGCACCCTCTATATACCTCGTAGAGTAGACTTCATAGACATTTTACGTTTAGTTTTAATACCTCCTTTCTTTAGTGTGTGTATCTATTAGATATTGAACTTCAGTACAAATACCTGCAGCGGGAAGGGCAGATATGGTGCTACAGGTGCGGGGGGAAATCGTTAGTACCTGGCTGGGACTGCAGACGCTGTGCTCAGTGAGCGTGCAAGGTTTGTAATGTGGGCGCGCGGCCTGAGGGCGGCAACACACATCGGTGCACTCGGAGGCCCAGCCGCAGTCGCACTCCTCGCCCTCCTCCACCACGCCGTTGCCGCAGATCGCTGGCTGAGGCTCTGCACAAAACAAAACATACGTTAAGTTAATAAGACAACAGTGCCAACTAGCGAGATTACCTATTATGTAAAACATATAGCGTACGTATAGATTAAAATTACCTTACTTCGGAGCGAATATCTAACAGAAGACTGACGCCTTAAAAGCTATAATTTAGAATCCACATATGTATCGCTAAGACAAATTTTCCACCTAATTCCATTAAGAGCATAAAAATATGTTATGATCCAAGTAGGAATTAATATTTTACTTGTGGAAATTAACGTCCGCAGTTGTACAAATGTATCTAATTGGAAATTATACCTGTAAAGCATCCTTTGGGTGAGCGCGCCTTGTTGTTGAGCACGGGATCTATGGCGCGCAGTGAACACGGCGAGAACTTGTTGTTGTTCTTCCTGTCTCCACTGGTGGCGCGCGCGAACATTATGTAGTTGCCGTCCTCGCCGAATGGAGTACACATTTCTGGATCGTGCTGCAAAGGAACCACCAATAGCCCTATGCTTAAGGGTACGATCGTACGATCTCGTGGTGGTGGGATCCCATCCCGCCATACGACTATCGTGACCTTTATTCTAGCACAAGATTTGGGCTTATTTGAAATGGTTAGGTTAGTTTAGAAATATGCTTTAAAAAATCTGTTCACTATATTTTAAATAAAAAAATAATATTGACTGAAATAAAGTCTTTTATTACAAATAAAACTACGAAGTTAATAAATCGATTGATAAGAAAATTTCGCGGTAATTGTTGTGTCATTTACCGGTGATCCGAAATTGTGTCCGATCTCATGCGCAAGCGTGACGTGGGACACAGCGGGGGGCACGTGCTTGCCGTAGTTGAGCAGCGTCACTATGCCTGTGTTCAAAGACTTCATGCTGCCCCGGTAGTGCTGGTAACAAATTGCTTAAGTTAAGCGTAAGATAGAAGATTTCTAAGAAGAAGAAAACTAAACAGAAGACTGGAATCGAGAAGTAGGTCCTCGGAAATCCTGAAAAAATGAACAAGGGTAATGTCATTAAAAACTATGTGCGAGGTATGATAAAACTTACGCCATTCTTTTCACACACGCCGCCCGCATTCTTGAGATCACCAGTCCACGCTAAACCCAGCGTACCCATCTCGAAGTCTCTGTACGTGAACATATATGCTAGGCAGAAGGCATCGTAGTCTTCCTCTAAAAATTGAACTCATTATTAATTTTAATTTTATAAATATAACTTGAAATTCTCATTACAGAAGAATAAATACCCGAGAACAGCTCCAAATATTTTTCAACACCATAATTATTCGGAAATCGATACGCGGGATCTTTTAAAGCATCTAAAGTGTGAACTTTTATTCTTTTTATCATAAACGTAATATTATCTGCTTTTCCATCTTGGTTGAAATCTAAAACAAATAAAAAATAACAGATGAAATATGTAATGCAAATGTCTCCGTTAAAATTATATGAGAGTGAACGTGGTAATAAAACGCACCTGTTACTTTATAAATGGCATTAACTTTCTGTACGTGTCGCGTCATCACTTCTATACACGCCTCCTCGGAGCCGTATCTTTGGTAGAACATATGATCAGCTTGCAGGTACACCAAGCATGTAGTCTTCCTAGGGTCTACGGTGGCCCTTTTATTTACATGTCTCCCATCGTCCGTCGCATTAGCTGTCAATACAGTAAACCCCATGGGTTCCTTTTTAACTATATCCTTACTGACCGTTACAACACCTGCTTTAGTTTTTATGACTTCAACGTGAGTCTTTGGTTTCGGTCTAGTTTCTTCCGAATCTAATCTCACTTTAGTGATGAGGTTACTTTTATCGATTTTCGTTTTAGGTTTCCTAGTACTAAACTTATCGAAAGGATCGCTGTTGCTCGTGTAAGGTACATCTAAATCTAATGGTAGATCTGGATTTTTCATCGGTTGATCGTCTTGCATTTCATCTTCGGGAAGCCATCGTTTCTTCCGTCGATGTATTTCTGTGGTGAGATCATCTGTGTTGTTGTGTATGTGAGAATCTTTGTTTGTATTGGAATGGTGTGTAAAATTGAATAATTCTGCGTGATGTCCGAGGGTTCGTTTGAGATGGAGGAGGTGTGATGCACAGGGCTGGCCCTCGGTCCGTGGTGGATGCTGCACGTCTGAGCGGCGGTAGATAACGCTATGCATCGCGGGGTGCTCGATGTTGTAACGAGACACGGGCTCCACATAATACTCCTCGCCGGTCGTCCATATCGTGCCGTCGAAGAGGCCCTCAGCGGTAATGACGCCGTATACGTGAGATGTGTCGTCATCTAACAAAGAAATAAAACGTTAAATTAGACTTTATTGTTGGTACTTAAGGATAAAATAAACCATACTTTTATTCAACACTAAAGACGCGTTTTATATCCCGTTTCAGGTCTTTATGAACAATTGTGTTTAAGCGATCGCTTTTGATACTTTAGTGGGAAAATTTAAAGTCAAGCAAGAAAGAGAGAGGATTTACAATAAATTTTGTTAGCTCAAAAAAAGGACATACATTATTTTTTTATTAGATTTAAATGAAATTCAAAGTCACAAATCTGTTCTAAAGCAAAAGCACCGCCAGTTCAAATAAATAAATGCGATGATTTATGCAAAGTAATTCCAGGTGCAAAGGGCCCCCGGGGACTTTGAATGAATTAAAATCACAACCTGCAGTCGCTGGAGGAATGAAAACCGCTCATAAATAAAGGTAATTACAAATTCCCTCAGCGACGCCTCCCCGTTTTGATTGATAAAAGGAAAAAAATCGCCTGAGTGTGAAACGAGCCCTCTCGTGGCCTCTTTGTAAGAAAAAAATCCAACGAAATGATTTTCATAAAGTTCAATATTACTCGGAATTCATCAGAGCGCCAGGTAACTACAACAAAAGCGTTCTCAAAGCGCTTTCTGAATTCAGATTTAAAACAAATGAGTCTGAGTAATGACTATGTGCTATTTGATGGCACCTCCTCAGATATTTTACTGGAGGCTACATACTTATTGAGTTTCGTGAACTGCATGAATAATCTTACGTATATCTTTGAATATTTTTATACTTTCGAAACATATAAAATACCTGATAAGTTACCGTGGATTTCTGAGATCCAAAATCTGAGTTAAAAACATAATAATATCTCTGTTTTGTCAAACATTTTGGTCTCAGAAACCAACGGCAACTTATGAGGTATTTTAATTATTCAAAAGTATGAATAAGTGGTATTTTCTTTATTGCATGTAAAATTTACACATTTATGATTACTCGCTAAAAAAACAACAACAAATGTAACAAAACAAATAAAGTAATATACTTAATATATTTTTGATATATAAACAGGGTTAAACACTCACGTTTATTCGTCACACCAGTGAGCTGAGGGCCGCGTCCGCGAAATAATACCAGTACCACTCATCCTGAAGAAGGGCCCCCGATGGGCTCGAAACTAGTCGGTGCCGCCACCGGACGAATATACGTGAGTTTTTAGCCGTGTTTATATATCAGTTTAGTACAATGTCTCACGAAAGTTTGAATAATTTTATATATTTTTGATTGTAATTTCAAGTATTTATAAATACTTAAAGGGACTACAACTTTTAGTCTGCGTTTTACTTTGAATTTCTTAGAAGTTCGAAGTCGCTTTTATTTTCATTGATAGTATAAAGTTATATTTACTATATTAGACTTCTCGGTCGAGTACACGTCGAGTGAGATTCGAGTACGTTCATTAAAACTGTCGCGGAGTCACTCACTCCATTAAACTTATAAAGTAATTTCATCAAAATTCAGTTTGCGCGTCGGCAGATGGGACGCACCTCGTAATTCCGTTTCATTACCTTAACTCATAGAATGTGGAAGTTTCTTCTTATGTTTAATTTATTGTTTCAACAGAGCGGGACATAATGCGACAAATTTTAGATGAAGGGGCGATATGATGCTAAGATTCGGGTATTATGTGATTAGTTTGTAATTACTCATTACATGAATTAACTAAAATGAATCATTTTTTATCAAAATGACGGACATCGAGTATAAATATAATGTACGTAATGTAATTTAAAAAGCAATATCAAATATTTTCCTTTACTTTTATCCACGATCTACATCTAACCTCAAATATATTGACCTCAACCAATCGTCTATCCCAAATAAATCGACGATTTAATTTGAAATAACTAAGGGCCAAGCGTTATCGGTCGGCAGCAGCCCTAAAAGTACGGCCAAGTCGGCCCTAATTGCCAAACTAATCTTATCCGATATTGCGTACGGATTATTTGAAGTTTTATTATGTGGTTGAAGCCAACTAATACTAATCATTATGTATTACAATTTAAGAATAAAAAAACAAAAGAATGGCGTTACGGAATTACTGAATTCATTGCTAGGATGCCTAAAGCATGTATGTGACATTAGTATAATATTTTCTATGAAAAATTACTTGAAAAAAAAAATAAGTTCTCCATCTAAAAATGTATAAATTTAATGTCTTATCTCCAAGAATTAGTTTTTTTTTAATTTTAATTGGCGGATTTTAGTTAAATTTTTCCAAAGATGCAACTTGTATAAATCTAACATACCTTCTAGCTTGCCGGAGTAGACCTGCGCTGTGTTATACTGTAGAGGCCCCGCTGAAGAATGGAACTGCACGTCCTCCGCGAACACAGAACTCGGGTCTGGCCGCAGAATCAATCGGAACTCTCTGACAAAGGAAAAACATAAGATTAAAAAATAAAGTGAAAGGACAAGATACATCAAGTACAGACAAAAAAGACAACATCTATATATCGTGAAAATATTTAACAGCGTATTCGTTACAGTTCATAAATTTTAAATGAGCCATAAAGATTTATAAGAACTCTGCGACAGATTGCGTGGGAGTCAACTTTAATAATTTGATATCCATATATGACGTAGAAGAAATCTATTTTCTTTGTAACTTCGAAGGGTAGGTAGCCTTATACGTAGAATTATGGATTCGCTTTCTGGATGGCTGGTTTACTGTTGAAGTAAATGATTCGTGACGATCGAGAAACGTAGATCAAGTTTTTATACAAAGGTAAGTAGATTTAGGATGCGGTATACAATTTCGGCTTATCAAGTTTTCCCAAATATGTTTAGTTATATTCTTGAATTTATTCGCTGTATCTTTTGTAATTACTTTAGGCACAAACGTATAAAAAAGTAAACTGTTAAATACCTGTGTGACTTTGCCATTTAAGACATAGGTTAGCTACTTTTACATTACTCTCTGATATAAACTAATCTATGCATATTTGTATGCTTTGCTTTATTATTGTCATTATGTGGTATTAATTTTTTCACCTAACATTATGTTACCATATCAAATGTACAGGAATTAAAAAAGGTTCATCAAATAGGTTATGTCGAGTTAGAATATGTTATCCGGCCGCCATGTAGCAGGAGTGGCGTTCTGAGACGGTACTAAATTATCAGAACTATTAATCCTGTAATAGCCGATTGCTTCTGGCACAGATGGGCCTTGTAGACATCCTAATAAATCTTCTATTAAGTACCATTTACAGAATAATACCCGTGTTCTATAGTAATCTAAAAGCATATGCTATTTAATTTAGTCGCATAATTTATTATTTCTTCCAATTTTTTAAAAAGGTTGCACTGTGGATTACAATGACTCTGATGACGTCATAGCGATGTCCTTGAAAATATAAAAAGTTCATATAGGATACTGTGTTACTAAACTTTAATTTACAAATGCTCCTACATCTATTATCCCGGTCACGCCTTAAATAAGTCGTAGCGATCGACATGATAATGACTTAAGTCCCCAGAGTGGCGTTTTGAGCACGGCACCACTTTTGGGCAGTTAGTCACGTGTAAAGGCTCCACGGTAGAGCCTGATTTACTGCCGCCGAGGATACCGACACCTCGGTAAATCATAATTAACTACTGCCGGAAGCTACCACACTTATATCAACTAATTTTCATCCAATACAAAAGTAGTTCATCGCAAATGAATAGTTGATATTATGTACTAAAGAGGTGCAAAAGAAAATTCTATAGCGGACATAACACAAAAGTGTTCTATGCAGAATATGTTTTCCTCTTCCATATCGATCTATCAGTAGTCCTTAACTTTATATGAATGAAAAAAATAATATTTAATTTATAAAATAAACTCAAACATAAAGAGGTATTTCAACACGAGCATAAAGAAGGTTCCATTCCAAGTAAATAAAAGCTTTCATATCGATTTCTAAAGGTGAAAATTTCCAGAAAGACTATTCGAAAGAATTTAGGTAGCGTTCGTAAAGATTTCTCTTGACATTGGCAAACTTTTTGATCTGGCTTCATTTGTTCTTTGTCCTTTCTTCTAATGGCCACAGTTGAGTGTACGTGTTCCACAGCGCTGCATTTTTCAACAGTAACAAGCTTTCAAACTAACTCTATTGTATTAAGTTCGTAGTTTTAGCTTTTATTCGTAGCCGATTGTTCTAGAAACTTCTGGCTAACTAACGGTCTTAGCAGTGAACTGTAGTCTTAATTGAAAATGGTATTAGACTTGCATTAGGTTACTTCTACTCTACGGTTTAATTGTTGTAGCTTTTAACTTACTAAAAATAAAAAATAAATCTTATTTTTTTTTTGAGGTTATGTTTCAAATATCACGAATAGACATCCCTTACCAATTTAAATCCTATTTACTTTAATAGGGATCGATCTATGCACTGCTCTAATGTAAGTAAACCACTAGGGTAGTTATGTTACATTAAAAGTATTTTACGTAAATATGCATGTTTTGTATACAAGAATTTGCGCAGTGGAAACTCACAACTAATACGCACTTTAAAATTTGTGTCTGTCTTTTAAATACACTTAAATTTTCCAAGCCCAAACAAATACGCTAAATCAAAGCCTGTCAGTATGAATGAGAAAGTTTTATTAGGCAGTCAGGCAGTCGGGTAGTCGGATAGGGGGCAACCATTACGCCATCCTCCTACATTTCGTAGGCGGATCAAACTGAAAAGTCTATAAGAATCGTTCTTCGGACGCAATTTCCCAAAGTCATTATTCATTTCAGACGTAGACATGCTCAATTTCGTCCTCGGAAAATCTTATAAAAACGTTCCTAATATTAGATGTTACGTTTTTAAGACAATATGACTTTATTGGAAGTCGCAAAAGACTTAGTTCAACTTTTTTTTTGTTTCAATATAGGTATATCGATATTCATTAGGAGAGCAAACGATTTTTTAATAACATAGTTCTTTTCCTTTTTATTTTCGCATGGACTTTTCTAAATATTTGTACTAAGCAATCTATACTTTAAAAAAACTGGATCACAACCTTTGCTGATTAATTGAATTTCCTGTAAATAACCTTATTAATATTCAACATAACGTATTTTAAGTTTCAATGCTAACTAATAACCATTTCACTCGGTTTGCGCTTGTGGTGGTAAAATATGAAACAGCGCAGATCGCGACACAAAACGTGTAGGCTTTAATTAAATAAGCCGTAGCGTCATGTAGCTCCGTGTAGCACGCGCCTTTCGTATTAGACGGCGAACGTGTGCGATATAAACGTAGATTTCTACTGTTGCCACACTATATAAGAATATGAGGTTATCTCATTTTTCATAGAGAACGAAAGAGACGATATGGTTTTATACGAATTGTTACTTTCTGTAAAGTCACGATTATGTACGAAAATATCTTACTATTATTATTAATGCGAATGTTTAGATGGATGGATGTATGGTGGAAATTTGGCGTAGGTATAGAATAAAGCCTCGAAGAATATATACGATGCTAAGTTGGTTTTTTTTATAAGGTCTGGGGACGTAATTCGTTATACTCGTAATGTTATACCAACTACATAATAAAGAATTTGCGGGAAAGATGTAATATTAAAATATACGAAAACAACTACAGTTTATTTCAATTTAAAAGTAAGCGTGGTTTTCATTGTTGCAAAGTTTTGATATTCATTGCCTGGCCAGCGGACGCCGGCATCTTGTTTTCCTCGAGATAAAGTTAAATTGTAACGTCAAAAGGTGAAAAGTTGCGAAGTAATTCATTCCACGCTTACGAAATTGTAAAGTGAACTGTTTAGGGGTTGTTTTTCCAGACGACTATTGTTATCAAAGTTTAAAGCAGAAATAGTAAATTATACATTTTAACGTAGCTCTGCCAATTTTTTTATTGAGTTTATTGTATACTAGCTGTTACCCGCGACTCCATCTCGTGTAATCAAAAACAAATTAATTATTAATTAGTAGCCTATGTGTTCTTCCAGGCTATGTTCTACATCTATGCCAAATTTCAATGAGATCCATACCGCCGTTCTAGAGATACCTTCAACCAAATATCCATCCATCCAAACATTTGCATTTAGAATATAAGCAAGATTTATATTCAACATTTAAATAAAGTTTTATTTTAATTGAAATGATGCTGATAACGATATTCTTTCAAAACATATTTTCGTTTGTTCTCTTTAAATAATAACGATGTGAGTTGTCGACTTTCAAAAGATTCGAGATACTGACGAGTTAAGAAGTATAAGTTGAGAACAAAGTCGAAAGTCTGCAGTCACTTGTTTTCTTTGAGAATTGTACAAATATACCGATTTCAAAGTAAAGTGATCAAAAACTTATAAATTTGTCTATATTTCTTTCTTTTAAGCACTTGCAAAATATTCAAGATTATTATTGATATGTCATATATTAACATAAAAACTTTGTATTGATTTTAACAAAATCTAGCAAAAGATTCCTTGGCCAACATAATTTTTATAACGGTATCCAAAATCCGTCTGCACAGAGATTTATTAGGAATTGATTATATTTTATAATAGTTGTATTATATTATATTTTATAGCAAAACACAAGTTATTATAAAATAGTTTAACAAATAAAAGTCAAGCTGAAAGTGTTCCAGCAGAATATCACATGAGTGGAGACCATTTTTAAAGTGTCAAATGCGGTGTTGATTAATGCCGGTAGATGGCAGCAGGCGCGAGGCATACGGAGACATCGCCCACCCATCATCACTCATACTCAATGTCTTGTCATTTATTAATGCTGAGGTTTTTTAAAGTAGCGGGTAAAAGGTTAACTTTTTAAATTCAAATACTTGATTAGATTTACATGATGGTAAACTTCGTTGGTTTGATGCGGTACTATTTTGTTAGGATAATTTTAATTTTTGGTAAATTTATAAGTAATAAAAACTTAATAAGTATCCTATGTGTTCTTCCATACTAAATTTTACATCTTTAATTTTTCATCAAGATTTGCTGAGAAGTTCAGGAGATAACTTCTAACGAACATCCATCCATCTCAAGTTTCGCATTTATAATATTAGTAAGATTGAATATTATAGACAGTTTAATAATTGGACCACTAAATATACACTGTGTACAAAAGCATCGTGTGTAACCAACATGCATAATTACAACAGTTGCAATAAAACCTCATTGAATGAATAATGTAAACAAATTCAGGAATGTTAAACAATCAACATAACGAAACTGTTATAACAGCTGTTTAATTTTAGGCGTATTTTATTCATTATTCAGCTGCACTTAATGTGGGAGTGTGCTTATGACCTAACTAATAATATACAAAAAATGATAATATAATAATATAAAATAGCTTTCCTACGGTAAATAATAGATAGTAGAAAATAAAAACAGAAAAATATTAAATATGAAAAATGTCATTTGAGATCTGGTCTTAAGTCTGACCTACTTGAAATAAGAGGGCAGGTGAAGACGATTGAAAACCAGCGACAGTTCAACGAAAGCCTGAAGCGAACCGAGCGGGGATTATCTACGTCTTTTACACGTTAAATATAAAATTGGCTACATTTCCCGTGACATGAAGAATAGAGCTAAAATATATTTCGATAGATTTATGAAATTGGAACCAAACTAGGCGAAAAAAAAAAACAAAATTTAGAAAATATGGTGTAAAAAACTAAAAATCTTTAAAATTACAAACAAGAGAATTGCATACTAATTTTAACAAGTAAAAAATTAACCCTTAAATATTTATAAGAAAATCATTAAAAAATATATAGAAATGATTTTAATTGCATTTTCAAAGCAAAATAAATAATTCATTAGCCGACAATCGGATTTTTGAGCTGTTTCCGAGTAGCGTAATGACTGTAATTTATTTAACAGTTCCTGCGGGAAAACTATCGCTCGCTATTGGAATAAAAACGGTTAAATTTGCTCCAGCAAATAGCGGTCGCAATGTAAACACGACCAGCGCCTGTACAAAGCCGCTTCCAGGAACGAAATGTTTTAACATATTAGCACGAAGGTATGTTTGATTTATAAAAAAAAACATTTAAAGATATTTCTGTTATCCATAATATTCTAAATACTAGACACAAGTATAAAAGAATTAAAAGAAATGTATTTGAAAATAAATCCCAGCTCGATACCTTTACGCGTTTTTGAGTAAAAGGGTCTTGACACACAGACGGTACGACAACAAAGTGATCCTATAAGGGTTCCGTTTTTTTCCAATGAACTAAACTAAAGACTAAAATAAGTAACGTTGGATCGTAAGACAAATTTCTACACCTATTTTGCCGACCTCTATATAGAGTGCAAATTTCTCTATAAGCGCAGGGATATGGTAGTCAAAATCTTTACTATGTAAATATTTAATATAACTTATGCATACAGCAATCGTTGCGTTTATTGTTTAATCGGTCCGCATAATTTATAATATTAAAATCAACACGAACAATGCAGATGACCTGATAAATTATTCGCAAGTTGATTGTCGTGTCGAATAATTTAAATGATTAATTGCTTGATGAGTTAAATAGTTAAATGCATATATAATAGTATAGTTCAATTGTTACGTTCATATATTTTAAGTTTGATAGGAGATATATAAGTATTAATACATTTTTGAACACAATATTGATGAGAATGCTCAGGGGTTAAGCACTTGACTTGCAATCTGCAGATCCTGGGTTCGAATCCCACCATGTACCAATGTGTCTTTCGATTTCCGATTTGCATATGTATATTTATCCGACGTTCTTACGGTGAAGGAAAGCATCGTGATGCACCCTGCACATACCTGAGAAGAAATTCAAAGACATGTGTGAAGTCAACCAACTCGCACTGGGCCAGCATGGTTGATGGCCTAGTCACATGCAACTTATTGTAGGCTTTTTTTTATTTATTACATTTCTGAATAAAATATTGATTAGAATAAAGTTCCATCTCTCTGCCTATCCAATTATGTTTTCACGTAATATAGCCAAAGCAAGCTACATAAGACGTTTACAGATCATTAGACCGTACATCTGACATAGATACAGTTCATTGTATCCTACAGCCAACGGAATAGTTTCTATTGGGATCTACACAAGCTTGAATCACAGTGGTTCAATCAGGTTCAATCAAGCCAAATTAACTCGACCTATAGACATTTGACGGATGATAGATAACAATTTTACTAACCACTGTTACTAAGTGATAAATTGCACTGCAATTGCCAGCTTCCTTTAAGGTACAATTGACCTGTTTGTTTGTTCGTAGACAAATTGCTACGAAACTCTACGAGCTACGCAAGCCTATGAATATAATAGAAAATTTAATAGACGTCGGAATTATAATTTCGAGTAAGCGATATTTACTACGCAAGGATACTTGTTTGAAAGATTTAGGCCTTGTGTACGAACAGCCTAAGACATTTTATCATTGCATTAGTTTGAGCTTTAAAAGCTTCAAACTATGACCTTTAGCCTCTTTTGATCCTTTTATATATCTATTTTAGTCCCTTTATATATTTTCGATAGGTCAGGATCGATGACGGCAACTTTCTTAAAATTTCATTTTATGTGGCTCTATTCAATAGCTAAAGAACTCACAGCTTAGGTCATATTTATAACTTTGTCGCAAATAAAATATTAAAAAGTTATTTAAATCTTTTTAGGTTAAATATAACAATAAATTATGTTTATAGTTTGGTTTCTTAATTAGGTTTTTAGGTAAGGTTAAGTTGAACTTTTTATTTGTAATCACTAACCATTACTTATCGCAAAAAGTTTTAGTTTCATTAATAAACGTATAGGGGGCGTGTGCGTGAGTTGCTACCGTTATTGTATAAAAGTCGTGAAACATCGGTCAGGGGGTCCGTTCGGGACATTTTAATTAAGCCAATGGTGGTGGGGAGGTTTGTTGACCCCCACCCTTTCTACCCATGCCTCTTACAAATGGATTAGTCTGGGATACGTTCGATTTACTCAGCCGCAAATCGCCCCGTAGTCTGATAGGAAAAGTTGGGTTTTAACGTCCGATAAATTCGTTGGGGGCAAAACAATTGCGAGTCGACATGAAGGAAATTAAATGAAATTGAGGTGTTTTAAGATAGACATGTGCATCTAAACATCCAGTTTATTATTTCATATTCATTTTGGCGCTGGTTTTTAACCGATTATTGTAACTTAAAGTTTCAATGGTTAATTTTGTTTAAAATACAAATATGTTGAATTGTTGTATGTTATTTTAAAGCTAAGGAGACGACAATTTTATGCAAAAGTGAATCGAATGAGGTGAATATTTAATGGATAAAAGTGAATGAATTTAAAAGATTAACAAATCGACTACCAATATAACTTTCGTTGGTTTCGGAGGCTAAAATCAAAGTTTTAAACATGTTATTATGTTTGTTTTGTCAAAGATAAGGTTGGTGTCATGTTATATACAGAGATTTTGGTCTCAGAATTCCACATTTAATTACCTTATTTGACTTACTAATTTAAAGCTAATTGTTATACATAGCGCACGAATACATTCTCATTGTAATTCCGTATGTTAAATGATGTTTATGGAGGCTGTATATGTTAGTTCACACAAATCTACCTTAGCATTAAGCCACACAATGCCCCAACTATTCAATTACGGTCTTAATTGGATACGATGAAGCGGTAATTTTGATACACATTCATCAATTATTAATTAAAGAGGCACATAATGGGGCTTGTATACGCTTATAAAACGTGACTATTATTTGATAACAATATATTTGAGGCAGGAGAAATAATATAAGGCGGCAGTACTTATTACCTTGACTATTTGACTGGAAATCTAACAAACAGTAAATAGCCTATCACCTTAACAACTTAATAAACGTCCCTACTGAGGGGCTCGGAGTCTACCCTAAGTTAGGAATGACTTAGTCAACCAAGCTGGCCCATTGCGGGTTAGTGGACTTCACACATGTCTTTGAATTTCTTCGCAGATATGTGCATGTTGCATGATTATGTTTTCTTTCACCGTAAAACATCGGATTTAGTTAGTCAAAAATTTCTATCGAGTAAAAAATTTATTGTTTTGTTGAGAAGAAATTAATCTCTTTGTAGTAAGTGAAGGATGGTTCGATAAAGAATTGTGGTTTCATCCATTAGAGTAAAAAGTTTTATACAAACAGTAGTGGTTAAAGTTAATTAATTCCCGGGTTAGTGCAGTGCGGTGCGGTTCAATGAATCGATTGTCTAAGTATCGAACGCGAGCGAACGTGACGAGCAAGTAAAACATACGATACGGTTTAAGAGAATCGGAAACAAACACGTATTGCTAGAATAATAAAACCAATTAAAAAAAGCAATTTTAGGAATTACGTAACAAAAAAAAATGATGGCAATACCAACAAGCTATTAGGGTTGGCACTAACGCATGTAAATATGGCATTCGTAAAATAATCTATTTTCAGAGTTCTATTGCCAGATATTCGCATTTTTTAGTTTGTTTGGAAACCAATTCCATATCTTGCCTATATATTTCGGTTTTAGCTGTCTCTCTTACTTCCCTTTAAGTTTGATTTATACGACGGTTGTTTGTGTACATGAAATTTTCTCTTTTTGTAAGTGTATGTAATGAAGCATACCTGTTATGAGCTGTGAATGAGATTCGTAGCGGCTGCGGAGCGGACGGTACGGTCGCTTGCGGGCGGTGGGGCGGCGGGTCGGGCGGGGGCTGCGGGGGCAGCGAGCGCCGGCGGCGTGCGCCATCTAACGGAGAGTACTGCGCCGGCTGCCAGTGCCGCACGAACGGAGTCAGCGACACCCCTGCACACAAACATATGACCTCAAACACCATATAACCATCGCTGATCTAATGGTCAGCCAAGAATAAATCACTCGAATTCATGTCCAAATCTATTTAGAGGGGGAAATTCCAAATAATTTCCTACAAATTTTGTTACTTCGTGGCAACAAGTCTTTGTACTACCTACCAAAACATATGTACAAAGACATTTAGTTGACTCTCTCTTTTACAATATTCCATCTAATCCAAATTTTATCTTTAAGTTTATTAATAACAATGATGAACTACGTAATATAAATAAATTTCCTTCAAAGCTTGTTAATTTTAGTTGAAGATTGTGTTATCGTATATTTGTTGCGTACTATATAATATCATCTTTTAATTACTATTCGTAGATTAAGTTTACGTAACACATGAAATCATAAATAGTTTAAAACGAAATCCTAATAAACTAATAACAGATCAAACACTAAATAAACATGTTATGGTTTTCAAAAAGGATAAGAGGGATGAATAAATAAGTTTATTTCAAAAGGTTAAAGTCTGATTAATGCAGTCCGAAAATGTTTATAAAACATTAATGAAACATTTTAAATCGTCAAGAAAAAAATAAATTGTGGTCCAAGTAAAAGTAGTTTTTTGCATTTCCAGTTGAGGACATTCTCACAAACACATGTTGCAGAGTTTGACAGAGACACGGACGTGCCCTGTCTTTTGCTCTATCGAGAAACATTTTCCGTGCGAAAATACAATGAAAGATATATATTCGTATTGCATTTAGGCGACGACTTTCCTTTACTAGTTTTTTTTTTAAATATTAGATAGAAAATGAAATGTACCACAATTTAATTTTAATCAGTAAATATTAATAATAATATTTTGAATTTAAAAACGTCAAAAAGAATCGATGAATCTTAAATAAAATCAGCATTTTCCATCAAAACTAAGATAGTCACAATTTATATAGCTAAAATACTAATAAAAATACTATTAATCATTTTTTTAGCAATATTAAAACTTTTTCTCTTAATAATCGGATTTAAAAGCTTAATAATAATAACCAGCCAGTATTTTAAGAACGCAATAATATCACCATCAGTATTTGCAATATAAGTAACCAAAAACTATGTCACATCGAAGTAAACTTATTTCAATGTGCACATAAACTAATCTCCAAGTTGTTGGTGCGGAGATAGTGACATGCATTTTGCACGGAGCTTGAATCACCATCTACAACTTGCCCGACCATGTACAAGTTGCCCGACTCGGTGTCTAACTTTGTTTGCGTGTTCATAAGATGATACCTCTGTTTCCCAACTTTGTATAACGCATCGAAAATAGGATCATGTATACGTTAAAACTTTATAACTATGAACTTTGCAGCTTCCCGATCCGTGAAATGATTTTCTTCTGCATTTATGACGTGACTTGAACTATTTAACAACTGAACGTATATTAAACGAAATCATTAAATATAGTCTTTATTCGAATTTAAAATTTCGTGTACATGTAGCTAAATTCAGACCTGTTTATCAATACCCAATTTCCTTTACAACAGAATCATTACAACACATGTTACTGATACTAACGTCGCATTTAACGAGGTTATTTTTTTAATTCGTCCAAATAGCGAATTGTTCACTGCCTATAGATATCTGCAATTGTAGCTTCGTTGCCTATCTTTGATCGATGGCAGGGGACATCCCCTCCCCCGTCAAATCCACATCCTTTTCCTACCCTATACTAATAAGAGAACAGGACTAATGAGAAACGCAGAACAACTTCACGCATGTCTTCTGAGTGGTCGTAAAATGCCTTTTCTACTGTTATTCGAATCGTACTAAACATGTATAAAAATCAATGTTTCATAAACAGTAATTTACGTATAATTAATTCTACATATTGTTCAAACTTTTGGGTTCGCAAAATAAAACATTTGAACGTTAAAACACATATAATTGTTTGTATCATATACTTAATTCGCAAGCGGCGTGTTACACGAATGCTCGATTAACCGTATTAAACGAATTATCATTGTTATCCATTCATTACGCCGCTTTTACCGACCAAATGAAACGGAATAATAATAGACATTGGTTTTATTGTGGCCTCTAAGCCCTCATTACAAAGTTTTCACTGAGCATTACATTGTGCTCATAGAAATTAATTGGATTTGTACACCGTAACAATAAACAATTCAATAACAATACAATTAATTATTTTAATCAATAGAATAATTTCTGTTGAAAAAGCAAAATAGGAACATTTAGTGTTTTCCGTAAGAACAATGTTTCTTGTTTTTAAATTAGCTGTAACTGTCTTTAACCTTTTCAATTTTAATATCATCATCATCAGCTCACTATACGTCCCCACCGAGGGGTTAGGAGCCTACCCTAAGTTAAGGGTGATCAGGCCATAGTCAACCACGCTGGCCAAGTGCGGGTTGGTTGACTTCACACATATGTATCTTTGAATTTCTTCTCAGATATGTGCAGGTTGCATCACGATGTTTTCCTTCACCGTAAGAACGTCGGATAAATGTACATATGTAAATTGGAAATTGAAAAACACATTGGTACATGGCGGGATTCAAACCCAGGACCTGCAGATTGCAAGTCAAGTGCTTGACCCCTGAGCCATCAACGCTCTTTAATATAGTTTTAATATAGTTATTATATAAATAGAGTAGACTTATAATTCCATATTTATAATAATTAATTAAAAGCCTTGGATTGAAAATTCTTTTACAGCATGCTTCTAACAATGTTGTTGGTTACCTCTTTAGTGTTCATAAAGTTACAGTAGTTGAATATAAATTACATCGCATTTTATCTATATATTGTGTAATATGAACACACATCATAAGATAAAATATCTATAAACTCTTAGCTCTCCGAACCATAAGATTCTTAGCTCAAATTGCAATTTATAATCCCGAAGGCGAATATGAGGCTCACGTTGCATCTAATTGGAAAATCCGGTGGCTATATATCGCAGACGCGAGCCCGGGAGACCTCAAGGATTTATACGTTCGGGAAAACTCAAGTTTGTCTGGATTAGACCCGGTTACACTTACTAATATGACACCGAATCTAGTCACTAACAGAAATGTCCGTCGAATTAAATTATAAAGTCTACTGATAAATATTCAGGATACTACGCGATAAATATTTCGTACCTATACATATATATTTTATTATAGTACTTTTTTATTGTGGATAAAATTATCTTACTAATTACAAATGCTTGTATAGGATGGACGGATGTTTGTTGGGAGGTAACTTCAGAACTGCTGCATACATCACGCTAGAAATTTGGCATACATGTAGAACATAGTTTGAAAGAAATCATAGTTTACTAATTAAGTTTTTTTCTAAATCTACGCGTCGCGGGCTACACCTAGTAATTTATAACTTTCACAATTACTGAATTTGCCTTTTTCTTAGTTTCTAATTAATATCAATGAGTTTATAATTTTGCAGCATATAATTTTAACCATAATCATTTCACGTGAATAAATCTACCACAAACCATGTCAAAGATCCATTCATTTCGAGTCGTAATAATTATAGCCGATTTTAGCGGACGGCGCAGAAAAATTGCAATACTGAGACTTTGAGACTTCGAGGTTGTTTTACCACAAAAGCTCTAATAGAAACAGCGGTTTTGTAGACTTATTGCCATCGTTATTTTACAAGTAAAAGGACTCCGAAACAATCAAGATAGAATTAAATCCAGTCAGCGTAATGGTATGTATTAGAGACGGTTGTCTTTCATCTTTTACGTCATGATTTACCATTATATCAATTATTTTTTCGTTTTAAAAGTGTCAAATTAATAACATTTGAATGTTTGTTATTACTAATCTCCAGAATAGCTAAACGGGTTTTGGATGAAATACTGCATAGATGTAGAACATAGCAAAGCTACGAAATACGATGTGAAAAGAACACTAAATTATTGTAAGTACTATATATTTTTCTATCACTGAGTTATAAAAAACCAAAATTAAAAAAAAAACCACTTTATATATAAACTTGATTAAAGACAAGCTTTAGAATGTTTGATTATAGTTTGAACAAACTCCTTAATCACTTTAGTGCAGCAGATTCATTAGCTTGAATGGTATATTAAGACGTCTCTGATTGAATCTATGCGTTAGACAGGCGACTGAGCTGAGAATTTAACTTTGAGATTGTACGTTTAAGGTCCTTCGTATACAAGACAACGTAAATCTTTGAAACTAGGCGATTTTTGTTGTTAATTACCGACGCAATACATTGTTATAGATGTTCCTACGTACTATTTGCAACAATATTGATAAATTGCATTTGTTCCCCAATCAATAGAAAATTCCCAATTGTATATAATCAGCTAACCATAGAAATATATTGACACGGTCGAAACTCGAAGTGAATTCAAAGTATATGATTTTTCGCGCCATTTGTCGATGGACGTGCGCGGCGTCAGCTTTCGGCAACGTGATCTCAAAAGATGGCAACAGAATAATCCCTCTATTGTAAACTCTAACTTAATGGTATAGAGTTGAAATTTCTTTGAAATATTATTACCAGGTAGGTTAAAAATATTTTTCGGGCACATCCAGTAATGCATGTTGATTGTTATGTCAGCTTGTGTGGGACATAAATATAAGAAAATTTTATTGAAAACAGAAAAACCAAGCACTTTTAAAACAAATACGAAATTAATCTGAGATGAGGAATTGAAGTTTCATTTGCAATGTGTAAACAAAAAAAAAACAAACAACAAAAAAGATTACATGCAATTGTTATCGAAGCATTAAAAAAAAAGTTAAATTGAATTTATGGCGAAACATTTTCCACCCGCCATGTTTCATTTAAGTAATTTGAATATGGAAGTGAACAGTAAAATCATCGCCATTGTCCGATTCGAAATAAAATTTCCATTCGTTGATGTGTGAAACATGATTATCGATTTTTTTTAGTTTGTTTTTACACACTAAAGTTTGCATCCAGAACTAAATCATTGTATTGTTACA